TCCTCCTTTTGTGCATCATTGAATCCTCGTATCTCTGTCAGCCGGTCGATACAGTCAGGAGGAATCTTACTGGCAGCTGTTGGTCTGGTGGTGATCCAGATGAGAGCAGAAGGAAGCAGATTTCCCTTGATGAGGTTCGTTAGGAGAACATCCAGAGAGGCTGGTGATGATACATCATGACACATCTCATTACCAGCAAAGTTTAGAGGAAGACGACATTCGTCCAACCCATCAAGGATGAAAAGGACTTTGAATTGATCACTTTTTGTAAGGTTCAGTCCTTTCGTCTCTGGGAAAAACTGAGTTATAATGTCCATCAAACTTTGCTTTTCCTTCTCTATTAAGTTCATCTCACGGAAAGGAAGAGGAAATATGAAACTGATATCTTGATTTTCTTTATTGTGCTTTTTGTTATTGTCATTTTCTTTATTCTCCTTTTCTTTTTTGTCCTCTTCGCTTTTGTCCTTTTCTTTTCTGTCGTTTTCTCTTTTGTCCTTTTCTTTTTTGTCCTTTTCTCTTTTGTCCTTTTCTAACCTTTTAGCCCAGTCCAAAATAACCTTTTGCGCAGAGACTGATTTTCCGATGCCAGCAACTCCTTTTGTCAGTACAGTTCTGATCTGCTCGTCTTTTTCAGTTGATTCAAACAAACTTGTGCATTTAATCTGTATCTCTTGGAATTCATAACATCTGGAAGCAACTTCAATCTGTCTCACCTCATGTTCAGTATTGATCTGTTCACTACAACCCTGAGTGATATAGAGATCTGTGTAGATGTTATTCAGAAGTGTGGAGTCGCCATGCTTAGCAATTCCTTCAGATACAGATTCATACTTCTTCGTCAGGCGAGATATTAGCCGTTTTTGATGAATGAAGACCAGGGCATCTAGACACAAACACAGTAACAAAATGTAATGATAGGGACTTCATGCGAGAGAGCGGGGAATTGTGACATAAGGAGTGAGCCATGGCCGTGCATTGCATGCTTTTTGTGAAATATTATAGAAAATACACAAAAACATTTTACTGTACTTTTCTCTCATGTATTTTAATTTCTCTCATTTTATAAGTGACAATATGACCTCTCTTACCTCGTAGAATATTGGCAGCTTCATCTTGCTTCATATATTTCAGGAAGTAGAGTGTGAGATCAAGAGCTGCTTCTTTGATACTGCACATATCCCCTATAAAGTCCTCCACAAAGTACTGTGTGTTCTCTTTTTTTAATATTTTCTTAAACCTTTCTAGCTCATTTTTCAAAAATATGATTATTTTGTTCTCAAGATCCTGAAAACAAATCAAGAAAAAATAAGGGTCAGAAAAAGAAAACAATCCTACATACACACTTAAAAATGTTTTTTAAATGTAAACAATTTACATATAGTACAAATTATGAAATTGCAATCAACCACCCCTTTAAGAATTTTTGCTTACCTGGAAGATCTCGAGGAGATTTTCTTTGAAGTTCTTGCGGCTGTAGTTATCGAAGTCTGAATCTAATTTCTCAAATTGAACCCTGACAGGAAAAAAATTATATTATTTTGAAGGCATTACATGAATTCAATCCATGTCATGTTTGGTCAATCTCTACAAACGTTAATAGCAGAGGCAGACAGTAGTGGAGTATTTTTACCTTGCTGTAAAAGTACTTTTCAAGTGTCTGTATTTCAGTGTTTTTCTTTTGAAAACTTTTACTTCACAACATTCCAAAGCATAATATTGTACTTTTTACTGCACTATGTTTCATATTAAATATAATTTCATACTTAATTACATTAGAAATCTAGTACTTTCTTTCTTTTACTCAAGTAAAAGTAATTCAAAGTTTTAATTGAGTACAAGAAAGTACTATATTTGAAATGTTCTTAAGTATTAAAGGTAAAAAAACAACAACTTTAATTTATGAAATATAGGGCAGTAAAAAGTATGACATTATGCTTTGGAATGTAACTAGGTAAAAGTTTTCCCCCCCAAAAAAAGGAATATGTATACTATGTATTCCTCTTGAACCTGATTACTGATTACTTAAATTTATGATCTTATTGCAAGGTGCTGAATTTAACTTTCAAAAACTGTCAATGTATTTCTTATTCATTTTCATTGTTATATGGATCACTGCATATGTTCAAGACACATGTACATCACACTTCAAAAACCAGGTTACATATTATGGCTTATTCAGTCTCTGGGGGAAATTTTTTTTTTAAACATTTTGGCAAAGTTGATCCATTTACATTGTTATTTATGCAAACTGATTGTAAAGTGTAAACTGTGGTATCTTGTGTCCCCACCTGTTCAGAAGAAAAGCTGCCAGTTCCACATCACTCGTCATACCCTTCTGCTTTTTTAAAGTTTTCCACCGTTTAAATTCGGCACCAATATTTATACTGTTATTTTGCTCTTTGTTACTAAATTACACAAAACAAACAATCATCACACAAGCACTAGCTTATTCCAATACATATTTCATCAGTGCTTTTCAGAAGAGCATGCAACATATGAACAAGCCAGACAAAAAAATAAGAACAACATAGTTAAACATTACCATATAGCAGGAGGACCAAAAAGAGAATTTAAAGCTCAGAAATAAATTAATAAACCTACCGATATGCTAGGGAAAACAAATAGGTTTTTAAAAGAGACTAGACAGAGAAAGGGTCGTTCTAATCTCTAAAGGCAAGGTGTTCCAAAGTCGTGGCCCTGCCACCGCAAATGTACGCAAACAATTTCTCACTCCCAAAACTATAGAAATGGCTGTTCATGTGTTTGTTACATCTTGGCAAGATTACTGCAACTCTTTATACTGCTTAAATATAAAAGTCTCAAATTGCTCGCCTTCAGCTAGTCCAAAACGCTGCAGCCTTCTTCATAAGTGTCGTAAACATGAACATATCACCCCAATTCTCAGATCTCTCCATTGGTTGCCGGTTCACCAGAGAATAGACTTTAAAGGGGTCATCGGGTGCGACATGCACTTTTACAAGCTCTTTGAACTGAAATGTGTGTTGGCAGTGTGTGTACACAACCACCCTATAATGATGAAAATCCACCCAGTGTTTTTTTTATCTCGTTAAATAATTTCCCCTTTCTCAAATCGAGCCGATCTCAGATGCCTGTCTGTGTGACTAAATGCTTGTTCACACCGGGACGAATATCGCGCGCGATTATCGACGACTTTTAACGCCTGACTAAACAAAGGGCGCCAATGTGAGTGTGCAAAACGCCTCGGGCTAATTTTTTTTGCTTTGACGCGCCACGTTAAAAACTGGCCGACCAATGAGATTGGCGCTTTTGTTCACGTGCCTGGAGCTGCTGAAGTTACAGTAAAACACGACTTGGTGGTGCTCAAGCACAAAACGGTCTGTCCGAGCACACATTGATACCTAACGACGAAGAGGAAGTAAGTAGACCAAGAAGATGCATCGAGGCAAGATGAATGTAGAACTGCTGGTCTCATTGGTGTCTGAACACAAAGGGTTTTATGACAAACGCGACAGCGACTACAAAAATCTCGATAAGAAGGAGTTGTTATGGAGAGGAACTGCCGATCAAATAGGATTCAATGTGTACCGGGGTATTTCTGCTTGGGTATGAACACAAAAAACACGTCGAAAAATGTCGGCGATAAGCGAGTGCGATAATCGTCCCGGTGTGTACGAGGCTTAAGGCCCCTCCCTCAATAGTTTGATTGACAGTAGCATTTCAGCACAGACTGGACTGGCGTCTTACCTTTGACCCGCCCTGAGTGACTGTCATCAGTCTGCCATTGTTTCGAACGCCTGAGCAGATGTAGACAAGAATGTCTCCTAAGCGATTGAGGTGTTCTATTGTTAGATGTAATAATGAGCATAGCAGTCATCATGTACTCCCGATATCTGAGCCACTGAAAACGCAGAGGATTACATTTGTTTCTGAAGGGAATGCACCCCCGATCTACCTAAATGTGTCTATGATCGCGCGAATCATTCATGATCCAGCTTCACCAACAGAAGTAGTGAGTATAAGGTTTTTTAAAGGGTTAGTTCACCCAAAAATGAAAATTAGCCCATAAATTACTCACCCTCAAGTCATCCTAGGTGTATATGACTTTCATCTTTCGGACGAATCCAGTCGGAGTTATATTAAAAATGGTCTTTGATCTTTCAAGCTGTTTAAATGGCACTCAGCGGGTGTTGCATGCATCAGTCCAAAAGAAGTTAAATAAATAGCGTTTTTTTTAAGAAAAATATCCATATTTAAAAC